AATACCATTATTGCAGCTATGTGAATTCAAGTAATTTATAAAGAACAACAGATTAGGAACAAAACTATATAATAAAACCGATTATTTTGACTTTAATATAAAAAGATTCAAACAATCTACATCTATTTCGGTTAACATCAAAAGGCGACTATATATTCAGAAACTCAAAAAATAGCAAGCAAGAACATGCACTTATTTAACCAATTTTGTGCAAAAAAATATCACAACTCAAAGATATATAATCAATGGACTTGATATTCATACAATATCATCTTCTACTTTCAAATGCCTTAACAAGAAGCCATTCACACTTTGTAAATACAACATATTCGACTAGATCCATAAAATATTTAGGGCCGCATGCACTAACTTCCCCTCTGGGGAGGGGATCGCAGCTCAAAAGAAAGCTTCATATTGCAAAACTCCAGATACCTGGATTTCACGTTGTGTACCTATCCGTAGGTATTCCTACTACCCTTCACTATGAACGTGTTGAACAGGAGCGAGAAGCGTACGAACCGCATTTTCCAGCTTTTGTATGATCCCTGATGATCCCCGGCGATTTTCTTTAAAGTCATTTTTCTTTCTCCGAAGTCAACGAAAACCTTCCAAAGTTGTGCTGAACATCTAACACAACAGTGCTAAGCATGTTGCTGATGAGAACAAATGAATTTTTGAAAAGTCGAGTTCTTCGGTAAACTTCAAATTTCGACCAGTGGATCATCGAAAATTTCATGACTTCAAAACATCATTTGTTCTTATCACGAACATGCTTAGCACTGTCGGGGTGGATAATCTGCACAACTTTGGAAGTTTTTCGTTAACTTCGAAGAAAGAAAAATGACTTTGAAGAAAAGCGCCGGGGATCATCAGGGATCATACAAAAGCTGGAAAATGCGGTTCGTACAGCTTCTCGCTCCTCTTCAACATGTTCATGGTGAAGGGTAGTAGGAATACTTACGGATAGGTGCACAACGTAAAATCCAGGTATCTGGAGTTTCGAAATATAAAGCTTTTTTTTGAGCTGCGATCCCCTCCCCGCGGGGATGTTAGTGCATGCGGCCTTTAGAATCAAAATCATCATATTTTGCAACTTAAATGCACACATCAATCATGAACAACCAAAAATATAAAATGATGTTGTAAATGGTATTCTAAAATGATAACATAATGAAAGCAAACATTAGCACTATTAGTTGATTTTTTCTTCACCAAGCACAAAGGGGTCGTTCCACAAAAACAGACTAAAAGATGCAAGATGAGTTTTTGTAAATTCTTTCCAAAAATCCTTTGTAAAGATCAATCTAGACCTTCTTTCCTTACTGAGGAGTCCCGGAAAGGGTCTAGAAACAAAAATCCGTCTAAGGGAAGAGAAAAAATGGAAATCACATATTTTTTCTTTTTATTTATGTTGATTTTTGTCATATTGTAATGACAAGGCGACGGAGGCGATTATGCCAGCTATTTTCACCTGATTTGCATACCTTAGTTTGTATACTGTAATAAACTTTTAGCACACGCCATGTATTTGTGGCCCCACTCTAATGTGTGGCTATACAGGATGTCTAAAAGAATGTATTGAACCTTTGTCTATAGAGCAAAACACCAGTCGCACTTTATTGCTGTCGAAGTGCTGTAGATTTGAGAGGAGGAGCTGTAAAGAACCCCAATTTGACTCAGAAAGCAAACCAAGCAGCTGGAAAACTTTTATCCTCTTAGCTCAGACAGTCGATGGGATACCTCCGGAGCAGAAGTGGCAGGGTCGCGGGCTTTCCCCAGCGGAGGATTGCCACTTTGCGCTCCGGAGCCCTGCCATTTCACGCATTGTGCACCGGGGCTCTCCCAAAAGTGGCGCACCTCCGGAGCAAAGATTTGCGCGTCGCGGAGAGGGGTCCCATTCGTCCTATTTGTGACGTCACCGTGACGTCACGGTGCTCAGACAGTCGACGGCTACCTCCGGAGCAGAAATGGCCGAGCCGCGGGGTTTTCCCAGCTGGGGATTGCCACTCGTGCTTCGGAGCCCTCCCATTTGTGCTCCGGAGCCCTCCCATTTTGTGCTCCGAAGACCTCCCATTTTGTGCTCCGGAAACCTCTCATTTGTGCTCCGGAGCCCTCCCATGTTGTGCTCCGGAGACCTCCCATTTTGTGCTCCGGAGACCTCCCATTTTGTGCTCCGGAGACCTCCCATTTTGTGCTCCGGAAACCTCTCATTTGTGCTCCGGAGCCCTCCCATATTGTGCTCCGGAGACCTCCCATTTTGTGCTCCGGAGACCTCCCATTTTGTGCTCCGGAAACCTCTCATTTGTGCTCCGGAGCCCTCCCATTTTGTGCTCCGGAGACCTCACATTTTGTGCTCCGGAGACCTCCCATTTTGTGCTCCGCAGACCTCCCATTTTGTGCTCCGGAGACCTCTCATTTGTGCTCCAGAGCCCTCCCATTTTGTGCTCCGGAAACCTCCCATTTTGTGCTCCGGAAACCTCTCATTTGTGCTCCGGAGCCCTCCCATATTGTGCTCCGGAGACTTCCCATTTTGTGCTTCGGAGACCTCCCATTTTGTGCTCCGGAGACCTCCCATTTTGTGCTCCGGAAACCTCTCATTTGTGCTCCGGAGCCCTCCCATTTTGTGCTCCGGAGACCTCACATTTTGTGCTCCGGAGACCTCCCATTTTGTGCTCCGCAGACCTCCCATTTTGTGCTCCGGAGACCCCCCATTTTGTGCTCCAGGACATCTCATTTGTGCTCCGGAGACCTCCCATTTTGTGCTCCGGAGGTGTCCCATATCTGGCGTACCTCCGGAGCGCAAATCTCTGCTCCGGGACTCTTCCAAATCTGGCGTACCTCCGGAGCAGAGATTTGCGCGTCCCGGAGAAGGGACGTTCGCCTGCTTGTGACGTCACCGTGAACTACAAGAAGGGACCGCCCCCTCGCCCCCGCTCTCAATGGTCAATTGGGTCCTCCGCGACTCTGCCAGATTTCGACTCTCCTCCGGAGCTACGGCACACCGACTGTCTGAATGAATGAATGGGGCCACCCCTCTCCGCGACGCGCAAATCTCTGCTCCGGAGGTGCGTCACTTTTGGGAGAGCCCCGGAGCACAAAAATGCGTGAAACGGCAGAGCTCCGGGGCGCGAAGTGGCGAACTCGCGCCATATGCCCACCGAAGGTATCCCTTCGACTGTCTGAGAGGGTAAAAATGGGTGTAAACTTCGCATTCAGACAGATCCAAATGCGAATTTTGAACCGTACTCAAAATCTGAGTTGGACCAGCTCTTCAACATAATATTCAAATGGTCACAAAACTTCAAATAAAAGAGTTATCAACGATTAGTTCGGGACATTTTTTGGGACCCTGTACAGTTATGGGCGAACAAACCCGCATGTTAGGGGTCCGTTCTCGCCCTCCTCTTTTTCTGCCACGAAATATTTAGCAAGTGTGCATATGAATGTATTGTATATATGTTTGATACATGCATAAGCAATGATCTTTGAAGACATATTACCAACTTTGATCTTTTCGCGCAAAATGTTTCTATATTTTGGCTCCAATTTTCAATTAAACACAGTGTGTGCAGTTCGCATCTTGTAGGGTTCAATTAGCTCAACCCAGACTAAAACATTTGAAAAAGATTATTTTCGGAAGGAACTGTGGGAATTCAACGGTATCTCTGTATGTTGTAGTCTTAAAGGCAGTGTCTCACCAAAGTTGAGGTCGCGCGGATCTTTACATATTCTATTATAGGGACCTCTAGATAGGTCACTGCAACAAGTCCCACTCAATTTGATCCCCTCCACGCTGAGAAAAATTCGCTCAAAGTGGTACGCGGAGAGCCAGTTGGTACGCGCGGACGACTTCTTCGGTCTCCTCCCTTACGCGTTTGAACATGTCCCTCCACTTGCCTTCCACCTCCCCTCTGTTGCTGCCACTGTGGCTGAGGCTGGAGTTGGAGGTACAACTCGTCCACGTTGCTTCCGCGGGGCCTCCAGAAAACGGGGTTTTTGGGAACTTCGTGCGATTTTAAGTTTATACAATGCTAGACAGGGTCCGACAGGCTTGCAAAATGCAAAAATCTCGACAACTAAAATTTAGTGAGACACTGCCTCTAAAAGTGACTGTGAATATAATCGTGTCGGTCGCTGCTATACTTCACAAGTGATTCAGCAGAAACTTCAGACATTGACTCCCGGATAATAAAAAGTTTCAAGAGTCCATATTTCACCTGTGTTCTATACAGTACAGTCAAAGAATGTGCAAAATCCCCTGAACGTTGCGGACTTCACCGAAATTCTCGGATTTCCGCGAGATTCTCGGAATTGCACGTTCTGTGAGCGGTATATTATGCTTGTCAAAGGCAAACTCCCTTTGTAGAGGTTGACTGGGAAGAGGGGGGCGATGGGACTCGAGTAGGGCATCACCCAAGCCACAACATATGGATCATTCGAACTGAGATCTGTTTGTGAAGTTCAGCCCCAACCGTGGTCTTCGCAAATGGACATCAGTGGACATCCTCGAAGAGGGCGGTGCGGTCTGGGTTAGAGTTTGAAATTATATATCTCTATTATAAATGAATGAGCTTTCGCTTGGAAGGCTAAGGAATTTCGCTCAGTTTCGTAAGTAGTTCAGGTATTCAGAAGTACGTGAATAGCTCTTTTGAACTACTATAATTCTTGCTTTACTTCTTTTCAAGGCTACGCACGGGGAATAGGAACGCTGAAAAGTTGCTGGTCTAAGTTTATGGTGAAAGCTTTTGAATCACGAGCTAAAGTTCAAGTTCAGAAAGTCCGCAACCAAACGGCGCAGTACGCGCGGACTTCGAGCGGCACACGTGAAGAAGTGGATCAGCACTTTCGGCTGTCACTTTTGCTTTGCGTCGGACATTGCTCTCCTAATACGCGTAGGCGTGTCCGGGCACAAATTATCTCTTGGTGCATGTGTGAGTATAGAAGTGTGCAAGGGGAAGGCTAGAGAATCGATTCTCGGCCGGACGCTCGTGGGGCCCAGGGGGTGGTGAAGCCTAGAAGAGAGCGGAGCGAGCGGACGCGCAGCCGGTGTCTAGGTCGACAGCACGCACGACGACGGCTTCCGAGGCCTTCGATGGGCGACTACGACTACCTCATCAAATTTCTCGCCCTCGGTGATTCTGGAGTGGGAAAGACGTCATTTCTGGTAAATTCTGAAGAATTTCTGAATTTTTGAGAACTTCCGTCGAATGGGTTTATTGCAGCATCGATATACGGACAACACCTTCACTGGCCAATTCATATCCACCGTAGGAATCGATTTTAAGGAGAAAAAAGTGGTAAGCGCATCTTTTACGAAATATGAGATTCTTTGTATTTGGATAAGAGGAAATGCGTGCATGAGATTTTGATCCTGACCAAACTAAGCTTTTTCTTCTTAGAATTTCGGACCTTCATGCACTATCCTCATTTTAAAAATAAACTATATCTACGAGTTCCTTATCGCTTATTATCCTCTCAGCCTAACAAAAATATACTCTTTAAATTTGATTAGAGGATGTTTCTAAGAAGTGCCCTTAATTGGTTAAAAAATCGAAGCAGTAAGTTTGATTACGAACAATTATCTTTGAATTGTTAAGTGCTGCACTGGAGAAAAATTATCAAAATTCGCTCCACTGACCCATGCACATTCTTGAAAAAATTTTATAAGTCAGCATGCTCACAACTTTTTCTGTCGTCGAAAATCTTTCAGGATACGTCCTCATCACCCTTCAATGAAGCTGTGGTGGCATTGACAGAATTTTCCATTTTTTAGTCTGATGGGGCTTGCCATTAAGAGTTCCAAATCTTTCGGCAATTTTTCCCCAAAATAATGGTTGCTAATATTGCTCTATAATTCATGTACATTTTTGGCTTGTTTTCTCAACTATCTTGGCTACATACTCACGCATCCATGGCAACCACATCAAAACATGAATATTAGTATGCCATTTTGGTTTTAGGCAAGCTATAAATATTCAAATTAAATTTTTTTACCATCAAAATCTCATGAAAGAATGAATCGTCTTTGCTTTTGAACTAATCTAATAATTTCATTGTGTTGCTTTTTTCGATCAGATCCGATAAAGTTTTTTTTTCCTTTATTGCGTTAAAAGAAAAAAGTAATACTAAATCAATCACGTTTTATTTACTTACAATTATAATTGTTTGCATGCACCTAAATATGATTACGATAACAATTTGCTTGGCGAAAAAAGGTAACCAAAAATTCATAACTTATGCATAAAAGCATTCAATAAATAATTTTGAAGTAAACTATGGTTTAATTATTGAAAGGTCCTTCTTTTTTCTTTGTCCATCCATCTGTAAAACGCACATATAACAAAGTGCAACGAACTTTTTAACTCCATCAAGGTGCCGTTTTTACATTCAAAAAAGAAAAGAACGTTAACTAAAGTTTTTTTTGCTCATGTTCTTTAGAGCTTTATCAGTGAGACACTTGTGTGTTCAATAGAAAAACATTTGATTTCCAATTCCTTTTGCAGCAAATTGTAGTATTTCATGTAAAACTTTGAATATGAATCAATTTTTAAAAAGTGGATAAAATTTATTTGGATTGATTCACATAACACTAACCAAATCTACACTTTTTTACGGAAAAAGTCTAGCTTGTTTCTAGAAAAAAAGTACAGAAATGCCCAAGATATGCACCTATTGCACTTTCAAAATATTCAAAATAATTGGTGAAAAATCTGGTAAAGTTGGCTCTTGCACTACTTTTAGAACATGAAATGATCTGAAGCTGCTGCTTGTCTTTTTTTGACGTCAAGAATTTTTTTTATCCAATCATATATGTTTCTGTTTCTATTAGAAAATTCCATCAAACGTTATTGCTATTTTTTCCGATTTTCAATTCCATTTTTACACATATAGGAGTCTGTTATCGTGGTTTCGTGTCTAAAAACATTAATGAGCTCTAGTCGGTGCTAATCTTCCCGTTAATCTTTTATTTGTTTAAGAAAAAACTAGAGAAATTCGATCTGCTGAATAATTGGCTTTACAAAAACAAATCTGAAACTTGATACAGGCTCTTCTCAAGTCTCACTAGTACCAAATTCAGCATCTAAATTCCCTAAATGCCAATTCCTTCTTATCAGTAGAAGTGTGAGCAAGTAATAAACCGCTTCCGCTATCGATCCCCCATCCGTCGCCTTGGCATCACCGATCTCAGGCGGGGCCCCGCATAATTCTAAAGATAATCAAGTGAATGGGCAAACTATGGCAAGAGCTCCGAATGTTTTCAGGTCTATAAAAGCGCTCGAGGCGGTTTTGGTGGACGAGGACAACGAGTATTGCTTCAGTTATGGGATACAGCCGGCCAAGAGAGGTATTTTTAATTTCAGAAAGGTACTGGGCCGACATTCAAAGTGGACTTTTTTTGACGGGTTCATAGAGTATTATGAAAAATTGAATTTATAGCTACTCTCCTTTCGCTTCTTTTTTTTTGACGGAGTATCTCTGGGACTCTTCAGTAAGGAGGGAGAGCCTCGAAGGTTTTTAGAAAAATAGAAAAATATTGCACAAAGTTAGTGGAACTTATTTCCTCCTTTACCAGAATTCTGCTTTATTTGGACGATCGGCGAGGTGATTGTGGCATAATATGCAAAACTCGAAAAGCATGCAATCGAATATAAATAAAATGATTATTTTTGTTGTCTTTCCTTTGAAGTTCAAATTTTCATTTGCATTCGCTTTTTTGATTTTTTCGAGTTGCATAAGAAGAGAAGAGTAAAAGGAACAGCTCTGTTTTTTCCCATTTTTTTACTGATTGTGCGAGTCTCAGCCTCGACCTACGTTCAGAAACGCTCATGTACGGCATCGTGCCAGCGCCGTGCCGGAACTCACATAGAAGCACGCGCATTTATTGATCGATCTTGTCGGCACATTCCTGCACGGCCCTGGAACGACGATGGACTGGCGTTGGCATGGGCAACTCTGGGCGCTGCCTAAATGAAATGCATTCATTGGGGAGCCCTCAGTTGCATTCATCAGCGTCCAAAGCTACTTCTTTCCAATGAAGACCGCTGACTCTGACTATTTCTTAAGCGGCTAATCAAAAATGACGTCATTCATTTAATTCATACGCATAACCCCGCTTTTCTAACCCAGACGACGCCATCTGTCCTCATAAGCCTGTATTAGTCGTAAGACCTCATCAAGCGGCAAAAACTTGGAATTTTACGAGCACAGCACTAACGCACAAAGCACGATTAGCCGAGCCCACGTAATTTATTCTGAAGCCTATATACGTTAGGGCCGGCGCATTAGGCCCCTAGCGGAGCTTCGTATAACATTCATCATTCCCTATTGTAACAAATCAGTTTTTGCGTAAGACAAACAGAACTATAAAAACGGAAAGGATATCCAATGACGCCAAACGTTGCAGCTGATGGAAATTTCTCTTGCAAGTGGCAAAGTTTTTCAATCGAGCAGAGAGGCGCTAATGCAAAAATGCACTGGTTTGCCTGCGGATAACGAGCAGGACGTTTCAGCGAGCCAAATCAGCATGGATTCTGCGTTGAATACCAACTTCAAAATTGTCGGGACTTTTTAATCTCTCTGATGTACATGCTCCTATGTCTTTAAAATATCACCATTATTCTTAAATGTCCAAGATGGTCCGCCCGTGCATGTTGAAACGTTATTCAAAATTTACACCTAGGGAGTGGTGACAATTTCAGAAGAATTTTTTCATGTTTTTTCCCCGTGCTTTCCCGAACGGGTCTTTCAGTGCTTTTCAGGACGATCCTAATTTCATCAGGCTAAGTGCGTTTTATGGCCCGTATTTTTCCCTATTCGCTTGATATATTACGTCATTTTTGCAAACCAATATATTTAATTAGCGATGCCCTCAAACCAGCTGCGACTAAACTGAAAGTGACTTTATGAAAAGTTTTGCAAATCAAACGGACACTTATAGTTGGAAGGAAGCTGTTCTTCCCAAATTCGGTACCAACACGAAAGTGAGAAGTTTTTACAGAAAGTTTCTATAAGATGTAGTTCCCTATTCTTATTTGATATCTCCTAAATATATTGAGTTGATTTAAAAGCAACACTCTTTTCTTACCTCCCAATTCAAGGATTGGTTTTCAAAATAAAACAAATTTTAAAAGCTTTTTATGTTATCTAAAAGGGCTCTACTTCTACTTTTTCAAGCATGCTTTCGTAAATCTTAATTCATTCTTGAGTTTCCTTACCTTCAAAACAAAAGACTGCACTTCCAAATTTCCCTTCGTTCTCTCTTTACTCTAATTTCATGAAAAATAGCCGGATTTATTCCCAGAAATATGCGCAAAGTGTTAGCCACAAAATATTTTCGTGAAAAAAATTTTTTTGTGATTTTCCATTATGAAGGTCTTAAACCAAAAAATTCTATCGCAAAATGGGTGGTCGTTGGGGCACTTTTGTGTCGTGTAAAATTTTGCTATGCAACAAGCGTAGCCGTACATTTGGCAGTAGGAAAAAGGCTTCCTCACTTTTTGCGGAGAAAATTTGAGAAAATCGAAGAAAGATGCAGAAAAAGCGATTACTTTCGACCTTACTGTAATTTCTCACAAATGTTTCCGTAAAATGGATTACTCGAATTAAAAAATTGTTTTGAATTGCTTTTTGGAAAATGAAAGCAAGATTGAGTGATTAAACAAAGGTAAGGGCCTTAGAACACACTCATATTACGATGAAATTCGATATCTAAACTTTGGTATTGAAAAAAAAAGATGCTACTGAAAGGGCATTGAACCAAACACAGGAAAACAAAGGATAGTGTCCTAATTTCTAACAATTATCATCACAGTTTAGAACAGAGCTCGGCACAGTGGCTTATAAGCAAGCTGGATATCATTTTTGGGACAAAAAGCAAAGGGGATATCGTTTTTGTGGGTCCAAAATTAGGTATTCTTAATCGATCATTGGTTTTTTTGATGAATGCTGATATTTCAGATAAGGGTCAAAGGGGGCTTTGTAATTCTTGCGAAAGTCAAGGGGGATTTCGTTTTTTGCATTTTTGGAAAGTCACCTCGTGGAAAGCTCTAGTTTAGAAGTGCCAAACAAATTTCACATTAAGCAATCAATTTTGAACTTATAAGAGATCCAAACAAACTTTGTAATGATAAATCTTGATCGTGATAATAACTCTTAAATAACTCCGTGCTAAGTTTCCATCCAAAAGCTAGCAGGGCTTCGAACAGGATGACACCAAAATCAAGAAAATTGTTCCCAGAGTACTCAGATCTCCTTCTTTATCTTAATGCCCATTCGCATAGCCACTAAACCTCCCGGGAATTCAATATTGCCGCTCTAATTTTGTTTTCCATGCTTTTGCTCTGCTCGAAATGTCGCTTTGTGATGTCGCCGCGCAAACTTCTCTAATGGATTGCAGTGCGCGTTTCGTCGGAGCCACTGCAGTCGCAAATTGGCGTCGTCTTTGCCGGAAACCTACGGCTAAAAACGTCGCGAGGAACTAAATAGTGGGCGACTGCATGTGCACTTTTGATGTGCCTTTCCTGGTGGAGGAAAATGGCTTAGACCTTAGTAAAAAGCTTATGTGCACTCTTTCCTGTGCACTAAGAAATTATGAGCGAGAAAACGGGGACTATCTCTTAGAAAATAAACATGAGTTTAATTATTTTCAAGATGTCCGCACTCATTCAGTCTGGAAAGCAAATGCGGCGGGATTTAGTGTATGTGACTAAGCTAGACAATATAGTGCACTTACAATGCCGACAACATTTGCGCGGAAATAAATGCAACGACAACTTGTGAGTTGCGCGTAAAAGTTGCCATAGAGAGCACATGCCACGGGCAAAAGTTATCAACAAGCAAACTTCGTGCATTAAACCTGCAGTTGACTATGAAAATTTTTCGACTTATTTTTTCTATTCGAAAGAATGTGGTGTGAAGATGCAACTTCCAACTTGCGACCTAATGACACAAATCGCATAATTGTTGCCGTGCACACTAATTTCTAATGAGTAATAAGGCCTCTCAACATACGTAACCCAAATGCTTATTCGCTGATCTTTTTTGGAGAGGATGCTCAGTAAAATCGCGCTGTTTTTTTGGCTATTGTTTGACTATCGGCTCCGAACAGAATGCACCCAATGTCTCAGGCAAATGACCGGAACTTCCACAGAGCGCTTGCGGAAGCTCCGGTCACAATAGCAAAGAGAACACCGAAGCGAGATTTGAACCTCACTCTATTGACTGTGAGACCCACGTACTATCCTCTAGGCTACGGCTGACACGTTCAATAATGCACTCTAGTTGTTGGCAAGGCAACATCACGAGACGACACATTCAAAGTCCTGCGGAAGTTCTGGCAGGCCAAAGTGCCGCGGAAACTCTGGCATTTTTCGGAATTTCCGCAGGATTTTGAAGGAGGTTCTGCGGAAGTTCCGGTTTTCGACCATTTTGGCATGAAAATCCCGCGGAGGTTCCGATTTTTAACATTTTCATTTCTGCAATAGTGAACAAAATCCTGCGGAACTTCTGCAAATTCGGCTTGTCCTGCGGAAGTTCCGGTGATTTGTCTGAGGTGTTCTCCAGTTGTAAATATCGCATTCCTGAAGTAAATACGCAGCTTCTTCCCATCATATTTTTTTACACATTTGTTCTTCAAATTTTTTGTTTGTGCTCCAGTTTCAATGCTAAGGGCATGCTAAGGTTGGTACAGAGTTGCCCGCGCTCATTTACAGCGCCGGAACTGTGTCGGGTCGGCAAGTTGGAGTTCTGTTGATCAATATGTAGATCGTCCAATCGAGTTCTGGCACGGCGCCAGAACTACGTTGGGCACGGCACGATACAGTCAAATCTGAACTGCAGGACTAAACGGTGGGACTCTCCACGTATATGTGGAGCATTTCTATATGTGGGGGCTCGCTAATTTTTTTAAAGTAATTTCTCCACAAATAACGTGGAATTCAGTAGCCTTTTGCTTGAGAGGTATGCGTCGCCGCATTCGAGCGATCCGTTTGCGGTTAGTCACTTAATTTCCCAATTTATTTATTATTTTGAGCGCGTAAACCACTCTGAGTAACACGATAGTATTTTCTGCAGGTTTTTCTCCTTTCGAATTTCATCTATTAGAAAGATAGCTTTTAGATGCATGCCCTCTTTTTTCTTTCTTACTTTCCATCAACCTATTGCATATTTTGATAATATATTAGGCTTGCCTTCGACCTTCCTCTCCCTAGTGAGAATCTGAGTTCATAGATACCTGTGTCATACATAATTTTGACTTTAGTTATCTTACCCTTCTTGGTAGCAAGTAGAATACAAAAAATTTTTTGCTACTCATTCGTAAAACTTGCATGACTTTCGCGAATGACTGAATTTTTGACTGAATATAATTTGGGATGGAGTGTGAAAAGGAATGAGAGAGAAGTAAAATAAGTGTATCAGTATGGTGTTTTTGATGGGCGCCAGCCTTTTGCAGGAAATGTTTTACTTGTATTCCTACTGCATAGGCAAATGAGCCTAGAGCATTTACGGTCATCAGTCATAGGAACAAATGTGCTACATCCGCTAAATTTCCGCCAGCTATCCAACAAATAAATGATGCGTAGTTTGAAGATAAATTTATGCCATCGCAGGTTAATGAAAAATGTCTGAGCCAAGTTGTTTTTTTGCATTGGACTATTCGAAAGAGATGAGCATGTGCAGATGGATAGGACTGAGGATCTATTATACATGAGTTATGTTCTTACTTCTAAATGGAAAATATTCATAAGCTTGTGGGAAGAAATTTACCAGGGTCTTAGTTTTCTTGTTCAACTCTAGAGAACCAAATAGTTCGCTCATGGCTTTGTCAATCGCTTTATTTTTCGTTCGTTTCGGGAAATCGTGCCTCGGTCTACAGGGGTATTCTGCTGTATTTTCAAATGACCGAATCTTGCAGATGTTGCTATATATTGAATTCAAAAATGGTATTTTCAGATTTCGCAGTTTGACAACAGCGTTCTTTCGCGATGCAATGGGTTTCATTCTCATATTTGACATTACTAATGAACAATCCTTCTTGAATATCAGAGATTGGCTGTCACAATTGAAGGTAGCAATTTAATCTTTGGAAAGTACCACAGAAACTTACTCCTTTTATTTAGGTACATGCCTACTGCGAAGCTCCAGACATAATCATATGCGGCAACAAAGCCGATTTGGAGAATAGACGACAAGTCAGTACAGCACGTGCAAAGCAGTTGGCCGATCAATTAGGGCAAGTTTCGATATTCTATAATTTTTTATCTGGTGTGTTAGGTTGGCGGATTTGTGACACCTTTTTCCATCAATTTTTTAGAATTCCAGTTGCTAAAACTCGAAATTTGCGTCATATATAGGCAGCGGCTCGGCAGAATAGACCTACCTCAGAATTTGACATAGATGGATAGAAGGCCCTCCAAGTGAACCAAAAGGGCAACTCTGGGCCGAAAATGTGAATTCTGCAACCCGGGGGGGGGGGGGAGCCAAGCTCCGCTCCCCTTCCTCCTTTCTCTCCCCTAACACCTTGTGCGGACGAGTTTGTTCTCCGCTAGAAATTACGCCGTCATTCGTAGCTTCGTAAGGCAACGTTCTCTATCTCCTCACTCTGCGTCTCTGACGGCAGAGAAAAACGGGTCACTCGTTCGCGCCCGTCTCAGGAGGGGTTTCAAAAAACATGGTTTTCCCCATTTTCGCGCTAAGGGAGTTCATATCGTGATTCAGGGTTCGGAATAACCTCGAATCTGTCAAAACCCCGAAGTAGGAAATCTGCCGAGCCGCTGCCTTTAAGGCTTAGTAAGGGCCTATCCAATAGCACGGCTGATGTCGTAATTGCAATAATGACCGACAAGTTTGCGACAATTTTGTAAACACTCGAATTTTTTGATTCTTCTCTGATTTTTCTCTGCGTCACTTTCCAAGTGTATTTTGGCAATGTCTTTCGTGTGGGAGCACTTGCCTCTAGCACTTCAAAACCGAGGGTTGAAAAAATGACAAAAAACTCATAATCTTACAATTTTTCCTTATGTGCATCGTGCAGAGATTACAAAAAGCTTGAAGCACATTTTTAATTAGAAAGAGCACTACAAAAAGGATCGGGAGATCTGTTTGAGCGTAAATTATTTCTTTACGAAGAAAAGCCGTGAAAAAGTCGGATATCCCAGTTTTCTTACGCGCGCAAGAATGAGTAAACCTGGTTTTTTTATATTACAAAAATTTAGTTTTTGAGGATTACAGTTTTGATTTTCGCTAAATGGCGAATTACATGCATTCAATCACCCATTCCCTCCACCACAGCGTGAAATGAAACCCACAAAGTTAGACAAGAGTTTGTAGAAAGATAGCCATGTCATGGTTATTACTCCTTTATCATGACAGAAAACCTTGAATAATCAATATGTGACACCAGAATTCTAAAATTGTCTCCTTTCAAAAAATATTTGCTAAAAGCTAAAAGCAAGCAAAATTTTCTGCAAGATGTGCATGTTTGGATGGTAGGCTCGAATATCTATTTGAGCTCATGAAAGCTGCGACGATTACGTTTCACAAGGAAGAGCTCTACTTTTTGTGGGAAGGGACACAAGGCTTCTGAAATTGTCATTGCTAAAGTGGCATTGCTTTTCGTGCAGAAAAAATCGCCGTTGCTTTCGATTGAAGTTGAAGGAGAAATCTTAACGGTGTCTTTATGTGCTTCAACGTGGCATGTGCCACTTCAGTGCATGTCAGAATTACTAAATACTAGAATACTACCCCTTCGGGGTGATCAGCATGCTCGATTACCCCCCTCTGCCAAATCCCAGCCCTCTAGCTCGAATTTTGCAAAAAATCAATAAAATCGATATCGATCGATAACGAAAAGTAGCCTATGACACGCTCCCTGCCCTGAAGTATATGTGTGCCAAGTTTGGTCCCGATCGGTTCAGAAATAAAAATTTGTATTCGGAACATACGTACATACATACAGACAGACATACAGACAGACAGACAAACAGACATTCAGCTTTATATATAAGATTACAAAATCGTTGGTTAACGAAATAGCTGTCAAAACTCATAACGGTAAGCTAAAAAGTATTTTACCGTGGAAAAAAGAGAGAAAATGTCTTGGAAAAATATGGAAATTAATGGTGCTCTTTAAAAACATATAGTATGGGATGTTTCAAATGTGCACACGGTTTGAACGTTAATAACTCTCTTGCATCATAGTTTTTCGTCAATTTTTAGATATTATTCTGCAGGGCTGGCTTCAACTTAGATTTGAAGTACAGAGCAAATTACCTATCCTTCTGGTTATGCAGGATTTCGGGAAGAACTTCAGCATTCAAAACCGTTGTGAAATAAGCCGTCTTACAAATCTTCTGTAAATATGTCTAAACTTTGCGGCGGAATTTTTACTCACGCTGACACAACTTTCCAGGGGTTTTCAAGCTTCATAATAATGAAACCACATTACTGAAGAACATTGGAAGCATTTGTTACGATATACTTGGAACGACCTATAGAAGAAGCGTCAGGTCAACTGTAATCTTTACATTCAGAATCAGCGACTTTGACTAGCCTAGTAAAAAGTTCTTAGTCTGTTTGGTTTTTTTTTTCTGATGCAAATTATGGCTTAGAATTGTTTTTAAAGTTCCTATTGTAATCTTACGGTTATGAAGAGCGATCAATGACTCGCTCCATATTGTAAACTAAATCTTGTTCTACAGATTGGTAGCGTTTGACAAAAAATTCAAAGCAAGAGAGTTACTGGCGAGGAAACAGTGCCCAAATTTTTTGGGGACACACTGTGCATTCACAGACGACATGATGAACATGATTCAAGAACTTGAAATCTTGAAAATCCATATTTTTATTTGCACTGGTCTGTGACACTACAAGAGAACCATTGCCAATTACTTGCAGAAAAATCCTGAGAAGAAAAGGGTGGCGCCCACTTCTCCATAATTTGGATGTTGCATGAACATGCCAATTTAGTACTATGGCTCGACTTTGACGAATTTTCTTAGAATTAATGTTCGATTCTAGTTGGGTTGTTTCTATTAGCAAAAGAGGCAGAAAATTCCCCTCGCTCTTAAATAAAGTTTTTTCAGGTTACCGTACTTTGAGACATCTGCGTGCACATCGACGAATGTCGAGCGAGCCGTGGATTGTTTGCTTGATCTCGTTATGCAGCGAATACAGCAAAGTGTTGAAACGTCTGGTCTTCCTCTTTCCGGTAAGTTCAGCTGCTGAGTTCATGCACAAACTTATCTTTAACCATTGAAATTTTGCCTTTCGGATTTTGTCTTATTTATTCTAAGATACTTCAAATCTATCTCACATAGCCAAAAATTAGATGAATCATCTTTAGAACAATCGAATCGAAGACTTTTGTTAGAACAAATAGATAATAAGATAATAAGGTCTGTCAGGGATTCTAAATATGAGATGGGGGGGGGGGGGAGTTAGCAATAAGTTTGTCAACATGTCCAAAAGCTAACAATTTCAAATTACGTCTCAATAGTTTTAGTTATATATCATCATTACTTTGCTTAGGTTTTTGAACCTTCTACTAACTTCTTGGCATTGTTCGCAAAAGAAAAAACACTCACTAAAATCAAAATTTCGACATTCTATTTTAACATCCTGTTTAGACTTGGTTAATATAAGAAAATGGTTATGATATCACAAGTGTTTCTTTGCTATATTTTTCTAGTTTCTTTTTTTTATTTGAGACTTACTTTGCATTTAGTCCCATGGAAATCAATGAACCCAAATCGCATCGATCTGGATTTGTCTCAAAGAAAGCGTTTACTCAAATTGAAATTGACGAGATTTTCTGCTTCATGATAGCGGGATCCTTAATTCGCCAATCGCTTAAGTCCCGCTGCAAAGGATTATTTCCGAAAAGAGAAAATCACCTCAGAAGGTAGAAGCAGCATAGGCAGCTCCTCCCATCAACGTGGTTGGTCTGAGGATGAGTCCAAAATTGAACTGCAGTGTATGTAGAATTGTCATAAATCCACTCTGTATTATGGTCCAAAATTCGACATTTCCATCCTTTGAAGCCAAGTTTGAACTTGCTATTTCACACCACCCACATTGATGGGCGGAGCCACCTGCGCCGCTTCTACTATTTGGAGCGGTTTTAACGTTCCGGAATGGATCCTTCGCAGCGGGACTTGAAAAATTGCTTACTTGGGAGCCCGCTATGATATAGCATCAAAATCTCATCATGTTTAATTCGGGTGGACAGTCCCTGCAACTTCAATAACCCAAACTTGCTGACTGACGCATAGCTCGCTATTGCTTCCTATGATACCGATATCCCATCCAAATTCCACTTTCTAAAGCATTCAAAACCCTCGGAGCGTTATGATATTTCAAGTGCAAAGCAAATAAATAACATGTTTCCATTCCTAGTAGTATTATAACTGAGTTGTCAACAAGTATAATCGGAACTTCTAGAAATATGTCATGTAGTCGAATTTGGAAATAGATACTGTGAAACTGACAACAAGTCAGAACTTTTATATTTGAAGTCCTAGTTAAAGTTATCTTGTTCCCTCCAAGTTTATAGGTAGTGCCTTATTTTGTGGTAAATATATCATTTTTAGATTGCCGAGGAGTTAGTCTCGACGCCGATATGCCGACATCGTCATCTTACTGTGCAAATTGTTAATTACAATTTATGCTGAGTTTTATTCACATTCTCGTTTCCGGTGTGTCGTGCCTATACATATTCTACAAGCTTTTCTTTCCATTTCACTAATAACTGCTAGGCTTTCAAGATGGATAAGTAGTCCCAAGTCTAGTTGCTGTTTGCTTTAACATCAGTTACCAGTCAGTACTTAACATATTCCAATGATCTGACCAAAGATCTGTCCATTTCTGTGTATTCTCGCTAGTTTTATTTGATTTGAACAATGAATAACACGCTACATATCATTAGTTTCTTTTATGGTCTTTCGCGCTGCCGCTACACCCTGCATTCCATGCTGTTCCATATGAGTTTCAGTTGAAGACCGTGATTTTCCCAGAATCAAATAAACTTCATTTACATCCTTGACTTTTGAAATAGTGGTTAATCTTTTCGTTTTCAAGCACTACCGACTAGCAAATCCCTAAACGTCATTTACTAGAACATGAAAAAGCTAGGCGAGTTACCGCACGCAGGCTGGACGCGTTGCGTTCGAGTTAGACAATTCACGTTTGGAAGAGACCGCAGACGGTAAGAATGTGAAGATGCGCGTGCGATTTGTTTCTGCATGCGATGACTGACCTATGGGAGATAATGATAGTCTACTTGGTATGTATTGGACTATTCAAAGCCGTACTTATTATAAAAGTAGAAGTTTCTGGGCATTCTGGACATTTAGTAAATTTTGAATGCAACAGCGGAAAGCATTTTCAAAATAGTCAAAGTTGTTGGACCAAGTAAATTTCCATTTTTAGTCAGAATCAGTAATTATCTCTTCAAACTTTTCGAAATCTTAAGCTGACAGAATAAATACAAATGTTGTCGAGTCTGAGAAAATAGCGAAACCATATGGAACAGCCCAACCCATATTTGCATTCTCTTTTTTTTGTGAAAGCCCCTCGCTGTTAGCAATTTTCATAGCATAAAATACATGAAAGAATGAATAAAAGTTTTACTTTTGCACTGTCAAGTTTCAACAACAGCAGAGGTTAGTACTAATGGGCACCATAACTATCTACCAACTAGAAACTGGCACTCAAAAGGTAATCAGTTTTGATAGGATTTAACGTGCTACAAAATTTAAACTCGTACAAGAGGGTAAGTCAATGCTATGGTGGGGAATACAGTACATTCTATCTGTATTCTTCCATGAATTTTTTGTGGAATGACGTGAACCGAGCCAACATGTCCTTCATCACATCTATCTGCGGAAGTATCGTTGTCCTGGAAATGTATGAAAATGCTTCCGTTTATGTAGCATCTAGATCTAACCAACCTAAAATGGTAGGTACCCTCTTTTTGTCCGAAGCCACTTCCTGGCACTACACAAATGCCGGCGGATTCCAGTAACTGCTTAGCATAAAAGAAGTCCGGTTCTAGGTGCAGAGACTGAAATGCTTGGTTAATATGAGGTGATGTGACCGGCCACGAACGTGAGGACACAGGGATGCTACTATATTCGTAACAGCATACAAGCGTAAACTCCTTCTAGCTCGTCCCACATATGTGCGAGGAATTAGGAGACGGATTGTATACTTCAACCCTAGTAGTTGAAAAATATCATGTCCAACATAAAATACACAGACAAAGTGACATTTTTGCACTTTCACGATAAGTTGTCTCTTATATTGCGCGGCGAGAAAAAAAATCTAGCAAATGCATTCGCGAATACCACTATGTGTTCAGGGTATGGTGACAAAGTAGGAATTCTTTGGAAGGAAAAGTTTCAATATAAATGAAAAGTTCCAAATTTTGGCTCCAAGCTTGAGCTGGATTACTTAGATTAATCTTTGTCAGTCATTCTGTGGAGTCTCCTTTGCATTGTCAACTTTACTCTAAGTCTTCTCCTTTGCATTGTCAATTTTACTCTAAGTCTTCTCCTTTGCATTGTCAATTTTACTCTAAGTCTTTTAGGAAAGCAAATGCAGTTTAAACTTTCGAGAAAGGATTTACTTTTTGAGTAATCTAATATATAACACCCACCCTTCCCCGACTATTGGTCGCAATTTTCTCGGAAGTAAGCCAAAAAATTGTGCAAGTGATTAATTTTTACTTGTTAATAACCAAAATATTAGATAACTTCATCCCTGAGCTTTATATTGTTAGAGAACTCTCATTCTGAATACCAGAGTAAATTTGCGAAGGTCATCTTGGTCACCGATGACCTAAAAAGGCTGTCTTTTTTAATACCATACTACACTCGCTAAGTGCGCACCCTATCTATATAAAGTAAACTTGGTGCGGAATATCTTGGAAACAAGAAGAGAATTATCTCGTTCCCGCATTTGAAAGTGGATGATTACAGGGTTGGGGGAAAGTCCTTGAACAATTTTTGATGTCCTTGTATGTTCGGCTTTTCCATAAATTTTTGTATGCTAATTAAATGTCTTTGCTTCTTATACTCTTGAGTACAAGCCCTCAAAAAACTGGACTATTAGGAATCCTCGGCGAAGCTTGATTGAGCTGGCTTCAGAGCTTTTCATCTCTGGCAGGAGAGTCTCCGACATCGAAAAGGGAACCTTGCAACGAAGCTTTTCGGGATGCTAAAATTTCATGCTTTTTGGGAGAACACGAAGCTGAACTGACTGCGCAGGTGCCATCGACTGCTTGAACGTCTCTCCAAGGCACGCCACCGAACGATACTCTTTTCTGACATCAAAATTTTTGCCGTGAGGAAAGTTTTCGATTGTCAAACAACAGCATCATTACCTAATCGACCCCAGAAGTCAGTAGCAAGGGTTGACTCGCAAAAGGAAAGTTTCATCTGACATCTGGGCCGGTAGTAATCTACCCTACCTGGTGGCATCAAAGATGCCGGCAAGTTGGCACACATCGCGGAAAGATGCCAACTCCGCCGGCAGCAGTGATTGTAGGTTTTAATAATCTTATGTAACCTTAGCACGCACTCATTTCGCACATTAAGTTTTGATGACGCAGACAGCCGCAAAACTGCTACCTCGCGCGCGGTCGAACCTATGCGTGTTAACTTGAAGTGCCACCACGTTAACCATTCGACCATTCGGTCAGCCATTGCTCTTTGCACCAGCAATAGGAGGAACGCGCTGGTAAATGGCTGCCTGTAAGAGGGATCGATACATTGCGTGAGAGACTTTGACCTGAAAGAACAGCTGATTGATATGAGCGAGAGAGCGGCGAAATCTGTGCAAACGAGATTTATAAGGGATTTCCAAAAAGGATGATGTTTCTTTATGATTCTAAGGCATTACTGGATTTCTTCACTGTAAGAAAATCGTCGTTCTAAAAAAGAAAAACTCGTATAATGAGAAAAATGATAGTTTTTTGATGAAAAGTAGAATTTTTGATGTTTTCGCCTGACGTAAATTGTGTGATATCGCCGCAATTCGCAAACTCGCAGACGCCGTCGGCAAAGGTGCCACCACCTCGACGTGGTAGGGGCACGTCGAGGTGCCGGCAGCTCGCTCTCTCAAAAGAGCACGCTATTTCCCGTGCTCTCTGACCTGCCGGCAGCTGCCATCTCGCGGATTCCGGCAACCTGCCGGCAGGTTGCCGGCAACTGACATCGCGAAGTTGCCGGCAGCTCCTCCTGGAATTCCAGATATTTTACTAAAGGAGGAGTTCTGGAACCGCAGATTTTTATGAAGTTTTCTACAGAGTCAAGGCGGCAACTTTATCAAGAAAATTTTTTGGAAAAAGGCCTGGGACGGCCTAAATTTCGGTTCTTAGTTTCTGGCCACCTCGCGGAAAGGTGCCAGCAACCTGCCGACGAGACCTGCCGCCAGGTCGGGGGGATTACTACCGGCCCTGTAATGGTTTGCGCGGCGATCGCTTCCGACAGCAAGATGCTGGCGATTTTTGTATCCCAAGACATTGAGGTGGACACCGCTACGCACGAGGATAGCATCCTGAAGAAGGGATTGTTGTGGACCAATACCATTTTACCAGGAGCGATTGGGGTCCTCAGCAGGACAGCGCACCTGCGCACAAAGCGAAGTTTGTTCAAGCATGGCTCCAAATTAACAACAAGGAGTTCATTACTCCTGCGGAATGGCCTCCGTATTGGCCGGATCTAGTTACCCCTGACTACAGCGTGTGGTCAGTTCTTTAGGTCAAAGCCTGCGCTCACTCATGCAAGACAGTGGAGTCTTTGCAACTTGCTCTTCAGAAGGCCTTGGAAGAAATCGACGTGAAGCACCTCCGTGCCACCGCGGACAGCGTTCCCAAGCATTTCCGTTTCCGAGCTTGTGCTCGCGTCAAAGGAGGAATCTTCGAATTGTAAAGCCAGCTTTGTGTAGCAGACAGTTAAGTAAACATTACATATTAATTTCATGTAAACATCTTGCCTAGCTTCATCATTGTTAAAAATACCATGTTCAAAAACTTTCCCCCAACCCTGTAGAACACTATTCTTGAAGATAACGGTTACGTTCGGTGGGCTTACGAACACCTGAGAGCTTCATTCAAGTCCAGATGGTCTTGCGCTAGCCACATCTCACGTAGGACACGGGGCCTGCACGAATGTTGAATAAAATGATGCAGAAAACTGGATGCCAGCCAAAATGATATTCCTACCATCACCACCTTGAAGAAACTTTAGACCTGCACATGAGTACATAAAGAAAGCTCTCATACAGCCAATGTTCATACTGCTAGCAAAAACCCATTTGTAATTGCATGATACCGTATGCATGACTGCGGAAGAAGAATGTGGAGAATATACAATGGCAAAACCAGAAACCCATTGCGATTCGCCTTGACGAACATGGAAGAGCATTTATTCAACCTGCTTCCTACTCTAACCAGTGCTTCTCTAAGCACAGAACTTTGAATCACGCAATGGAAACAGCCCCAATTTTCAAGATTACGATGTTGCATCGCAATAGAGTGAACGCTGTGGAGAAAAGAATTTATGGAGGTTTATGAGATTAGGAAGCACCATCAGAAAAATAATGGAGAAGAAATGGATGAATTACTGACACTGACTTATTTATCAAAAAGCCTTCAAATGGAAATTTGTGAACTTGCGAAACTCTGTAACTTGTGCTTAGTAAACAGTTAATAATATGAAAAACGTCATCTCCTCACTCCATTAAAATATCATCGAAAACCTCATATTCTCAGTCCATTAAAATCCATTACAGCAAATTCATGTAGGTAGCAATAATTCAATTGTCCGCAATGGTGCGAAACAATTTTCGGACCAGCCTAATAAGGTTGGCACTATTTTTGCAATTTTTTTCTACAATTTTTATCGCTTTGAATTTAACACATTCATTTAAAGTTGTAATGGCAATGATGTGAGTTGCAAATGCAGCGAATTCTGGAGAATTCTATTACCGCATTTGGAGGTTACGGTAGGGCATGATGAATCGTTACGCATTCGTTTGAAATGGTTGAAAGCGTTTTACGACCCGAATACGATGATATTCATTTTGCAGGGGTAGGCCTATTTTTTTACAAAAAAGTTGAGATACCGATGTAGTGGAACAATTGTTTACCCTGATAACAACTGGATAAGATATGTTTCGTCAAGATGACGGTTCCGATCTTGGCACTGAAAAAGATGTCGGATTTCATTTTTCTCCAATTTACAGTTCTTTTTTTCGCTAAGCCTGGTAGTCCACTTATCAAAACATTTTGATCATAGTTACTGCTCCATTGGTCAACTCGTTTTCTGTAGGGCTTTAAAATCTCGAATATTACCGCTTCTAGGAAAACGCGGTTTTTCGTTTTTTGCCTTTTCTTTTATTTTTTCAAAAAAGGTCACTTGAAGATAAGATTATTGGCCGTTGAGGATCTTCAGGGAATTAAACAAAAAGCTGGGAAACGCGACTTGTACACAATGTGCTTCTATATGACACGCATATTGTTAACACATCATGTCATTATGCGAATCCTTGATGCTCAACGATGCTGAACAATTTCCAATCTGCCTCAAGCATGTAATAACGTTGACGTTAGGAAAACACTTCACATGCAAGTGCACGAAAGTCAGAGACCAAGTAGTGCGATGCAAGGGTATACGCGTGAAGAGGCAGTCCACTAGGTTATGGCAAACATATAGACTAAAAACAAAACACTTACTTTGGCTTTTTCGACAGCCCTTGATGGCAGTAAAAGTCGTGGAAATGCATACATCGCTCCTTGAAGTTTATTGCAACTTATTCCTTCTAAACTTCCAAATGTTTCTTCGACTAGCTTCGCTCTTTCCTTGAGTGAATCAAGGATTGCTGTTTTTTCCTTAATTTGCAAGTATACGTTGCAAAACAGAGGAGAACCAGAATTAAAATTGTCAAGTCAATAGATGTAATCCGCTGACTCAATTCCTTCACTATGTTTGTCCTGGCTTCATATAAATATAACATCATGACGAGATTTTTTATTATCGTAACTCAAAAAACGGGCTAAACTTAGTTTAAGTTTTTTTATCTGTCTAGAAAACTGTCTGTCACGAAATTGATAAGATGAATGCAGTCAAGTTTTTGTGCTACGATCTTGGTCAAGGCACTTTATCAGCATGCAGTTTACAAGCTGCAAAAGAGAAAGCAGCCCGAAACCTCTATGTCAGGTCAAGAAGTGCACTCTTCTGACTTGCTTTCTTCAGTGGCTTTCCTTGCTTTGAACATAACATTGAATCTTCATTATCTCATACATAAAGCTGAATGTAATAGTTTGTCTGTCGCTGTCTGTACGTACAGTGACGCAAGTTGCGGACAAAGCAACCTCTTATTACCATTAATCTTGAAAGAAAATCGAACGAATAATTTCGGTGTATGAGGTAATAGAGCTATTCAACAGCCCGAGCATATTGCTTTCAAAAGGATTTCGAAAAATTCTTGGATTTTTTTACAAAAGTCAGGCCCCTTCACAATACCGTGGACAACGCGTAAATCTTCTAGGTTCTTTTAAAGCAAAAACACAGGCTCCGAGCATACTTCTTTACGAAGCTAGTCGAGGAACTATAATCATATTTTTTTTCTTTCAAGAGAAGATTAAGCTCGCATTTCAGTTTGCATTTTTGAACAGCTTCCGGTTTTATTTTACAACATACCAATCTTCATTCCTTGAAAACAATCAGCATGACATAGTACTGCCTTAATGAGATCGATGCTACTACTGTATGCACCGGATGTTTGTTGAGGAGTTTCTTGCTAAAAATGGCTTCTGGTAGTGCATGCATATGACCTCATCTGCACCTCACCGATGACTTGCAGCCTTTTGCAAAATTGTAGCTCACCAGCAGTCACCATAAGTTTGCATATAGGCTCCTTCGAGAAAACAAGGCTTTCCCGCAATGATTTGAGATGACACAAATCACGAAAAAAGCTCAGTTCAACCTTATTTGAAGAAATTCAGGCTTGCTCTTGAAATTGCAAAGTGAACTCATCTTTCTTTGCAAAATTGTGTCCAAAAGGTCTCATTCTTTCGAGTCAGTCTAATTGCAAGCTTATACGATGACTGCTAGCACAGCTAGATACTAGCATGCAAGTGGTCAAAATACTGAGGAGATGCATGTGAGGGTCTATGCACGCACTACCAAGAGCTATTTATAAAGAGCATACATCTCAATCATATAGTTTTTTTACGATGCGCTGAATCGGTATTCATTGAGCAAATTTAATTCGCTATGGCTAACTGGAAATTATTCTAAAAATACAATTAAAAGTCAAGCTTTTTTTGAACATGATGTAGTCCTTGATATGCTTTATAAATTGGTATGCTTACCTGTTCGGATTACCTGTGTCTTTGCTTCAAGTATTTGAAAGAAAATTTATGCGTTGAAGAATCATTGTTCGCGGCACTTCGTGATTTTTTTTCGAAAAGAGGTTTTGTAAATTTGGAATTTGAGTTTCCAGGAAGCGACAAGCTGATATAGCTCTTAAAAAACTCTATCATCGCTTACTTATTTCTTCAACCTCATTGCTCCTGAAAAACCAATGCAAATAGCCGGTCGCATTGTCTGCAACTTTTTGGCGGTTACTGCATATTCAGTGTGAAAAAAATTCACTTTCGAACAGATCTGAACCAATTGCCCACATACAATTCGTGGCGGGGCAAACATCGTAGGCTACTTTTCGTTATCAATCGATATCGATTTTATCGAATTATTGCAGGTATTGAGCTATGGGGTGGAAGTTGATAAAAATTAACACAAAGGGTAAGTGAGCATGATGATTACGGAAGCGAACTTGATCTGGAAAAATGATATTGCATCTATCGAGTTTATCGATTTTTGCAAACCTTGAGTTGCGGAACTGGGATTTGACACAGGGTAAGTGAGCATCACCGTTCCTAACTCTCCCATGAACAGTCGGTTGTTTCTCGGCTGTCTTATCCAACCAATCAAGGACAAGAAAGAAGGAACCGGCAGAAGAAACCGTAGCTGGACCACCGGATGGCTGCAGTACGAGAAATCAAGGAGCAGAGGATCAGGCGCCGTCAACAACAGATCAGAGTATGTTCTTACAATGCCCGTTTTTTAGCTCCAAAAAAAAGTTGGTGGCGCTTGGAGAAGCATTGCGCTTGATAAAGATTATGCGAGACACGCCGAAGTCGCGCTATCCATTTGCAGCACAGCTTTTCGGGATTGCATCTGTACAACAGCGGAATGACATATTGTGGGATCATTAGAAGAGGAGTAGGAATAATAGTCAACGAACGCCTCTATAGTACCGCACAGGAGTAGCCTTTCTCTCTGATCGCATAATTCAAAATCATCTTCTTTTGCTTGATAGGCAATGCGGGTCCTTATATGTACGCGCCCACGAAAACAATTATGATGAGTTCATGGAGGAACTTAGAAACGCACTTCCCCAGAAGCGTCATGCTACGGTAATCTCACTGGCGATTTCAACCCATGAATAGGAAGTGGATCGCGAACCGTGGACAGCAGTTGTTTTGGGATGCGAAACAGCAGAGCCAGGCTATGATTAACCACTGAGGGGGCGGGCGTTAGGTACCCAGCCGAGGTGTGGGCGTTAGGTACCTAGCCATCAGTGGTATACACTAAGCCACGCCCCTTGGTTGCTTCAACAGCAGGTACCTAACGATACACCAAATCCTAGCTGCTAGAACAGCTTACCTAGCTCGCTAAAGTGCTGGCGCTTGCGGACAGAAAAAAAGATAGTTGGAGGAAATTTAAAAAATGCGCGAATGAGAGCGCAATTTTGTACACAACATTTTTTCATTGCTTCTTGTTTTCATCAATTTTCGAAACTTAGAAATCCGGTGATGAATGTTACAGGGTAAAGCTTTATGAGCGAAAACCGATAATGTCAGCGGGAATCAAAAAAAGAAACTTTATAGATTTCCAATGAACCAAAATTTTATAATTTTAATGGAGCAAAGCGCACTTTTGGAGATGCTCCTGGCAAATAAGTTGCAGGGAATGCTTTGTTTCAAAAACTGCTCCAACTATATCTTTGACAATGAGAAGTGAAACCGATTGGACAAAGAGCTTCGACGAGAATATCACGAATCAGAACTTCGAGGAGGACCTGACTACCCATTAATTAAAGGGAAGTCCACTAGCTTTGTTTCAATCAATGAAATACATTATAGACCTATGCCAAATTTGGATGAGTGTATACTGATAGAATGATTAGTTTGACAAATTCTTTCGCTTCTTAATGAGTTACAAAGAAATTCATAGCTTTGATTGGATAAATTGATCTATTTTAGCTGCTAAAAAAGGGATGAACTATGAAACACTGCAATTTGAATTGCTCCAAAAAACACTGCAGAGAACACAGGCATGATAAAACACAGTAGCTCGATATATTTTCATTCATAAGGGATATGGAATTTCCCAAAATAGAAAGATGTGCTTAACAATGTGATGTCCCATAGATCTGTTGGCTTCAACAATGACCGAACTAATAGCGGTAATCTACGACATTAAAGTTCACACTCGTATGGCAATATCAACGCTCATGGGTTACGGCCCTTAACTTCACACCTCAAAACGAGGCCGACGACAATATGTGGAAGGAATATTCCGTGCAATTTGCCGGGTGCATCTCCGAAAGTGCGCTTTGCTTCGTCAAAAGCATAAAATTTTGATTTGATGGAATTCTACAAGGTTTTCTTTTTTGAAATTCCCGCTGACATTACCAGTTAGATCAGATCATCACAATTTGTTTTGCAAAACTATATGAAGTGCTCCTAAAAGTTTGCCCTGTTTTCAACTTTCATCACCGAATTTCTAACGTTGTGTACAAAACTGCGCTTTCATTGGCGCATTTTTTTGGTTCTTTCCAACTGTCTTTTTTCCGTGGGTCACAAGAGCCACTACTTTAGCGAGCTAGGTAAGCTGTTCTAGCAGCTAGGATTTAGTGTATCGTTAGGTACCCGCTGTTAAAGCAACCAAGGGCAGGGCCTGGCACCAGCTGGCACGGGGCAAGCTGGATATCGTTTCTGAGGCAAAAAGCAAAGGGGGTTTCGTTTTTGTGGGCGAAGACATATGCAAAATTGGCGACGGCGACCTTTTTTTTAGTCGACGTTTCGTTTTTTTTGGAGTGGGGGGGGGGGTAGGATTTTAAAGGGGATGTCGTTGAGGATCAAAGGAGACTTCGTAAAAATTCCCAAAAGTCAAGGGAGACTTCGTTTTAAAAATTTCCTGGTGCCAGCTCGTGCCGAGCCCTGACCAAGGGGCGTGGCTTAGTGTATACCACTGATGGCTGGGTACCTAACGCCCGCACCTCGGCTGGGTACCTAACGCCACGCACCCACCCACTGACGACGATTTGGACCACCGGTGGCCTACAGTCCTTGCAGAATTATATGATTTTCAGGTCTAGTTTTTTTTCCACAACTCAGTATTTCTTCCAATTTTTTGCTTCTTGCAAACTTTCTTCGTCGTCTAAGAAGATGATTGTAGTTGTAGAACAACTTTAAATCTCGCAAATAATAACAAAACTTTAGTTTGTTTATTTCCACGCATGGGCTAGTAGATTTTTGTCCTTTCATCGAAACCCTTTCATCAGGCAGTGTATTCGTATAAGACTCTTAGCAACAACAAAATACTAGAATCAGATTATGCAGAATGCAGTTATTCATGACGCAAACCGTGCAAAATCAAAAGTCGGAGCACACGACTTTAAAATGAATGAAGAAGCATTTGGTCAACGATGAGAGTTAAAAAAGAAAAAGATTGCAAACTCTGAAGGAATACTCTCGGAGAACACGAACGAGCAGCAGATATGGAAATATCAGGTTGTCCCGAAAATTTTGGCCGTTAT